CGGTCAGAACAAAGTCCTCGCTGTCAACAAGGGCCGAGTGGTGACCTCTCCGCTAGACTGAAGAAGGCAGGAGTATGATCATGGGGGAATATTGAAGAGTTAAAGAGACTAGTTTCAAGCAATGTGAAGCCGTCAGGTTTGATATCTTGGGGTGAAATAGAAAAAGGTTGGAGAAATCTGAATCTGCCCATAAGAACTAAGGCAAGCCTTAGTAGCAAGTGGTATGATATCAAGACCAAATCAGTTACACTGATGAGTAGTGATTCGTCTTCTGCACGGAAGAAGACTGAATTGCATTTGAAAGTCGTTACTGTATCATCTGACACTACTGTTGATGTTAACCAAAACGCCGGTAGTAGGGGTGCCAGGGTTCCCGTACTTTGGAGTTCCGTTCCTAAGGAACGGGAACCCGGTTGAAAATTCATTTCTATGCTTTTTTGAATACACTCGAGTTCATAGATATACTTTTTCTTTCGTTTTGAGCAAGTCACTCCGGGTTCCCGGGTTCCTCGGAACGGGAACCCGAACAGGGTTCCGGGTTCCTAGGAACGGGAACCCACACCGGGTTCCGGGTTTCTAGGAACGGGAACCCGCACCGAGTTCCTAAGGATGAGGAACCCTGTTGCAAATCGTTCACAACAGAAATTTAGGTAGGGTTCCCAGTTTTGGGGAACCCGGTTTAGGTTCCCGTTCCTGGGAACCCGGAACCCAATGTAGGTTCCCGTTCCTAGGAACCCGGAACCCAGTGTAGGTTCCCGTTCCTAGGAACCCGGAGTGACTTGCTCAAAACGAAAGAAAAAGCATGTCTATAAACTCGAGCGTGTTCAAAAAAGCATAGAAATGAATTTTCAACCGGGTTCCCGTTCCTAGGAACCCGGAACCCGTAGCGCGTTCCCATTCCCAGGAACGGAACCCGAAACTGACACCGCTAGACTGCGCACTAAAGACTATGCATATCTCGTAATTGGAGACCTTCGAAAAGCTTTTCTTTCATAATTGTTCTGATAATGCATCCGATGTAACTTTGAAAAGCAAAAAGAGCATATTTGTTTTTCTTTTGTTAATTTTGAAATTTTAAATCACTTAATAAGTGTTACTATTTCCTAATGAGAAAATTAATCGATTCATTGGAAATTACACGCAAAAAACATTCAAGATTTCTTTGAAAAAGGTCAAATATATACGTTGTCAACAAGACGAATTTCAATTTCTGGATCCCGCTAACTATAAATACACTGCAATGATAATATAATAGAAAACACATTCATTAGCCTGAGAAAATTTCACTTACGAGAACTGTATGTGTGTATTTACAATTGCTACGTTTGAATCTAAAACAACGTTCCGTTTACTGTAAAATAAAAGCAAAGCAGAATTTAGAATACTAAATAACGTGTGTTCGTTGTTATAAATATTTTATATGCGACCCGCTTCTTTCCGTTGCTCAACTGCTGTCAGCAGCGAAGCCAATAAAACCAACAATACTTATGATGTCGTTGATGTGCAATATAAGAAGAAATAAAAAACAAAAAATGGCCACGATGAAAATATTATATAAAAATATTATGAAGTATGCCTAATTTTTTTGTGTAATTAGTTTTTCCAAAAGGGTCATTTTTAAAATAACCTTCACAAGTGCATTAGTGGATTCCTTTTAGAAATGATGAATTGAGCCATTCACATCAGTCAGTAGATCAAATGATTATTATTTACCATACATAAAACATAATGAATTGATCAACAAATAAACAACAAACAATATGCCGTATTCGTGCGATGATTCATTATCGATTGAAATCTTTTTTCCTGTTTTTTCCTATTGTCATGATATTTATCAAAACTAGTCGTTTTCTTTATCGTTGTTATTTCATATATTATAAGCTATTATTTTTTCTGAAATAAGTCCTTATGTTTTCTTTTTTGTTATCTTTCGTTATATTTGCATTTCTACGTTTATTATATGTAAAGTTATGATGTATATAAAAAAATAGTTTTTTCACATACGTCAGATTTTAGTTTTCGTTATTTTGTTACTTTCTTCTTTCTTCAGTTTTCGTTTCACTTATTATTTTGTTATGTTTATCGTTAGTCATTAAGAAATGTTGATAGGACGCATTTTTTTCGTTCAATAGGGGAGTATGTTACAGTGATGTCGCATGTATACATATTCACTATTTATTGTTAACCTCTCTCTTTCATCTCTTTGATTCTTTAATTGGTTCCTTTGTTTTCTCGTTCTGCATATATATCTCATCTATATCGTATATGTGATTTAGAATTGTTTTTTCGCTTACATAATAAAGTTGTCCACGTACATCAAGGACATACATAAAAATCATACATATATACATATATATATATATAGGACAGAAAGGAAAGAAAGAAACCGTAACGCTTTCCTTCGTAGAATGTCTCATGGATCACATCAACCATATGAGAATATATTTTCCGGCAGAATACAAATTTTGATGTAGTTACAAATATGTGAAGAACGCAAACACACTCATATCTATACTCTCAAGCTTAGATCTTGACTTAGGAACCTCTCTGTCATACTTTTTCTAAATTTTCAATAAGAACCTTCGGACGTAGATATGAATAAACAGAAGACTCTTACCCATATTCACGCCAACCTTTTAAGCTGATAACTTTTAGTATAGATGGGAAACTATAACAACACTATCATGCATTATTTCATTGATTTTTCCAATTATTTGAATGAGAAAATGTGATACAGTAATGTGGGCACAAATCGTAGTTCCAGAATCTTTTTATCATGAACATACCAAAAGAAAAGATGCTTCCTTCATGAATATCATTTTCATTTCTGTGCAAGTCGACCAGAGAAATATAAAGATGAATAAAAGAAAAGAAAAGCAGCGAAACAATTATGTGATTTGGGAAATACCACTTTTCAAGATGATCAAGGTTCTCAACAATGGATGCGCCTAGTTTTGAATTCCCTCAAATTTTTTTTTTATCAACCGAATTAAATTAAAGAAATAATACTATAATATTAGACAATTAAAAAATGACAGTAAAACAGATTAGAACAAATTGCTGTTTTTTCATATCGAAGAATGATAGTTTACTACCAACCCATGTCGCATATTTACTTGAACTAACGCCGGTATACCGCGGTAGTCGAGAAAACCGGCGGTATACCGACGGTTTTCTTGAGTACCGCGGTATATCGACGGTAAAACTATCTCTTTTTCTCTCTCTATGTATATATATACGATAACGTTCTTTTTAATTTAGATGATTGTGAACATTGCAATAAACAGTAAATGTTTATTATATGAATTATTATTACTATATTATTGTTTTATTTACGACAATCTCAGTACCAAAATGAAAAGTATGTATTCATGCCAAATATTATTATTTTATTATTTTTCTACTTTTATTTAGAGCTACTTTCAAAACTTCAAAAGAAAGTATTTATTTATTTATTTATTAAGAACTATTTTATTTTTTGTTTAGATTCTTTTGAGAATTATTTAGTCGGGAAAATGTAGCAATAAATAGAACTGTTTATCATCAAATATGCGATTCATTGTCTTATGAATCTGAGAATGAATTTATATTATCGTATACAAAAAATTAATTTTATTAAACTTTATCATTGGAAAATTATTTTTTTGTTTTAATTTGAGTATTATATTTTGGTCGTGAGTGAAATGTAGCTGTTTCTGAGAAGAGACAATTTAGTAAGAGCTATATTTCACTTACGACCAAAATTTAATACTGGAATTAAAACAAAAAAAATAATTTTCTAATGATAAAGTTTAATAAAATTAATTTTTTGTATGCGATAATATAAATTCATTCTCAGATTCATAAGAGAGCAGATTACTAGGTTCGCACCTTGATTTTATCGGTAAAAGATGAAATTACCGCCGGTATATTGCCGGTATACCGCCTGTGTTTTTGCAACTACCGGCAGTGCCGCCGGTTAACCGGCGGTAGAGCGCCCATTATACCGTTCGGTCAACCGGCGGTATACCGCCGGTTTTTTTCCGGTTCTAATCACATGGGAATAGAATTAAAATTAAAAGTGCATCTAGATAGTAATCAAATATAAAAACATTAAAAATCTGATGTGTATTTCTTTTTTTTTATTGAAACGTTATTTTAATTCAACGACAGTAATTTAAGAAATCAGAAAACTGATAAAATAAGGCATTGCAGTTCTAGGACTATGTCTCATCTATGGTTAAGTCTATCAACTTGGAACGTTGTGGTTCTGAGTAATAAGTAGGTTGAACAATTTCCTTGAATTGCAAAAATTTGTCTATTCTGGAATATAAAAAGGATAAGTTTTAAAATCGATTCAGAACTTTTAGAACAATTTTTATTTATGTTTTTGGAAAAATAGCACATACGACAGTACAGTTTTTGTTTCCTTATTCAACACAAACAATCAGATTCGGTCAAAATTGATAATTTCGTTGTTTCGAATCGTTTCCCTTTTGTTTTAGCTCTGAAATGTTAATATCTTTATAAATACTATATGGATCTATAAAATAACTGTTTATATTTAAAACTACACACGAAGGTTCACAGCTAAAAAACAGACTTTATATATTTCAATAATGTAATTGAATAATTGAATTTTTTTTATTTGTAATTGATTAAAAACAAAAAAAAGGATCAACTGTTTTCCCCTTGAAAACTGTATCCATATTACACCTGTTTAGAATGTCGCTATACATGCGTGATGACATCTGCTGAAAACTTTATTCATTGGTGATTAGTTAGTGCCGATCGTTTAGACTTTACGTTACGTTACCTTGAGATGTTATGATCATTTATAAATATGTTGTCAAGTGATAACTTTTCTTTTGTCATTTTCAAACAAATAGTCTTTCATAATGCCCTTGGACAGGAAAAGAATTTGTTGTTTTTTTCCGTTTTGTTCTCTTTTGACGAAATACATGTGGCGCGTATATTCTAGATATCCATCATAAATATTTTCATACATATATATTTAACAAATGGATTTCGAAGTCGATCCTCTTATTGTACAAATTGCTCGTAAAGAAAAAAAAGAAACATTTGGTTTGATAATTTGTGCATTATTTCATCAACCAAAACCAATTCAATTTGCTCACTTTTATCATCAATTAATTGAACAATTAGAAGCGAATTTTAATGAAGACGAAAAACAATCGATTTATATTTATCCAATAGCTCATTTACATATTACAATTTCAACATTATATAATTTTAAAGATGAATATCCTCAATCTCCTGAAAAATGTTTGAAGTATTGGAAAGAATGTTTTATAAAATTAAAACAAACTACAAAAAAAAAATCAATTATACTTACACTTGATTCAATTCATCTTTCCAAAGATGCTGGTTATTTTCAATATAAGGATGAAAATAATGGTATGGAATATCTTCGTCAATTAATTCATAATATTTGTATACCAGAAGATGGAAAACCACCTTTAAAAATCCCAAATATTGTTCATACATCATTTCTTCGTTTTATAAAAAAACCGAATGATCCAATAAAATTTGAAGAAAAATTTCATCGTATTTGTCATGAACTGTTAAAAAAAACAAATGAAATTCGTTTTGATATTGATGAAATTTGTTTAGCATTTGAAGCTCGCCCTTATATGCATATTGATTGTGATGAATTTCATATACTTGATACAATGAAATGTTAAATTTTAATTTTAGATTTCTTTGTTTGTTCTAATAAAAAAAAAGGTCGGCTATGACTTTGAATAATGGTGATGGAATGCCGACTCTTTCAGGTAAACTTTTTTCTTATTCCTTATTATTACCATTAAAGTTTTCTTTTTCTAGACAATGAAATGAATGGTTTTAGTGATGATAATTCAACATTCCGCATTTGTTGCATTGGTATGCATATATTTTTCTACTCATTAGATAAAATTAGAAGCTTTTTTTTTCTTGTTAGGTGCTGGTTATGTTGGAGGTCCAACTTGCGCCATAATAGCTAGTAAATGTCCAAAAATAAAAGTAACTGTTGTTGATGTAAGCGCTGATAGAATAGCTGCTTGGAACTCCGATCATTTACCATTGTTTGAAGTTAGTTAAATGTTTTATGAATTGATTGAAGAAAATAAACAAATGAGTTTTATTTTTAGCCGGGACTAGAAGAAATTATTAGAAAAATTCGTAATCGCAATTTATTCTTTTCTACTGATACAAAAAAAGCTATTCAAGAAGCTGATTTAATTTTTATTAGTGTTAATACACCAACGAAATCTTATGGTTTTGGTAATGTAAGTTGAATATTAAGTTTTTTTATTATTTTAAATAGAAGATGACATTCAAAAAAACAAGCTGATGTTATCATAAATGTCAAATTGACAAGATGCTACATGATAGATTTTGTTTTACTTGATAGTCAAAATGCTATTAGTTGTCTTCATACTGTATTAAAATGTAAAACATTGGTTCTCTCTTTTATTTTGTTATGCAGAATAATTAAAGATCTCTAGATAAATTTATTAGGAAAACAGATCTCTAGAGAATTCTTTGTAGAAAAAGAATCATTCACATGAGAATTGAAATAAGGAATGAATTCATTTAACTTGTATGTTATTTAATGTATAGGGTCGAGCACCAGATCTACGCTATGTAGAAGAAGCCGCTCGACAAATAGCTCATACAGCAACAAGTAATAAAATAGTTGTTGAAAAATCTACTGTACCAGTAAATGCAGCTGAATCAATAAAAACAATATTAAAAACCAATAAGCAACCTGGTGTTAGTTATCAAGTTCTTTCTAATCCAGAATTTTTAGCTGAAGGCTCAGCTATTAAAGATCTTTTAGCACCTGATCGAGTTTTAATTGGTGGCGATGAAACAGTTGACGGTTCATTGGCTATTAAAAAACTTTCATGGATTTATGAACATTGGGTACCAAAAGAAAGAATTCTTACAACGAATACATGGTCATCAGAATTATCGAAATTAGTTAGTTATTTCATTTTCGAATGATAATAATTGGATGTTTTGTTTTGTTCTTAAGGTAGCTAATGCATTTTTAGCTCAACGTATTTCAAGTATTAATACTATTTCAGCTGTTTGTGAAGCAACAGGTGCATCAGTTAGTGAAGTAGCTAAAGCAGTTGGACTTGATTCACGTATTGGAAGTAAATTTTTACATGCTAGTGTTGGTAAATAGATAAATAAATTTATGGAAAACAAAAAAAAAAATTTTCTCTATTTAAATACATAGGTTTTGGTGGTAGTTGTTTTCAAAAAGATGTTTATAATTTAATTTATTTAGCTGAATCATTAAAACTTGAACCAGTTGCACAATATTGGTTACAAGTTATTAAAATCAATGATTGGCAACGTGAACGTTTTGTACAAATGATTGTTCAAAATTTATTTGGAAGCGTTAGTGGAAAAAAAATAGCTATTTACGGTTTTGCTTTTAAAAAAGATACAGCTGATACACGGTAGATATTTGCCACAAAATAAAGCTTTTTATTTATTAAATTTTTCTTTTAGAGAATCATCGAGTATTTATGTATGTCGATATTTATTGGCTGAAGGTGCATCATTGCATATTTATGATCCAAAAGTATCAGTTCAAAGAATTTTTCTTGATTTATCTGAACAAACTGGCAAAACAGAAGCTGATTGTAAGATAAATTATAAAATTGAAAATATTTTTCAGATTGTTAAATGATGAATGAACAAAATTTACAGATATTTATATTAGTTATTCCAAAATTGTTAGATTATATAAGATGATTTGAAAAGAAAAATCAATAATACTTAGTCTCTGTATCGACATTAATATATGTTGCCCGAGGAAAAGATTTCCAGTGTGAATATTGATTGTTGTTTGAATGTGAGCAGTTCATTACATTTATTGATGAACTTGGAAGGTTTTTAGACAAGTACATCATAATATTCTACGAATAGAAATATACTAGCAAGAGAGCCATACTAACTGATCCCTGTTGTTTGAAATTATATTGCACTTGCCAGAGTAACTTACTGAGACTAGCGAAAATGGAATTTTGACCTACAGTTTAGTGCATAGATAAGTCTAATTATCTATATAATATCTTGAAAGTTTCAATCGTAAATAATGTTTTTTTTTGTTGAGCTATCGAACTTTCAAGTAAACTCGATTTTTGTGATAAAGATTGGCTTTTAGAAATTCAATATCTCGACAAAGAAACATTCTTTTCGGCTAAAAATTTCAGGATATTCTGTTAGTTATTCGAATTAGTTTTAGATAACCTTTCACAATCAAAATAATCGTTTTTGATTTTTCAGCATATGCCTTAAACTGGATGAGAAATTCTTGGCTTTAAAGACATATGGAGGCAAACTCTTTGAGATTTCTGCTAGTCTAACAAAGATTTCTTTAAAGGCTCAAAATGAGCTCAAACAATGAGCATCAAGTTGGTTAGTTTTTTTAGTATGTTTTTGGCAGTCTATCAAAAGAATGAGGATAATGGTTCAATCTTTCTGATCATAACTCCTTTTTTGTTAAATTCAGAATGCAACTCTGCAAAAGAAAGAGTCCCGATATAAATGCTAGGCGTAGACAATAGTCCTAGATTTATATGAAAAATTTTCATAATAGACTATCTTATTATATGATAGAATCAATAGTTATTAGTAATCAACTATTTCGGGTTCTTTTTTTTAAGATATACTACTTTTCTTGCAACAGATATCTATTTTCCCAGATGAAACCATGATAAGAATCACCAAGCGAACTTGATTTTTTCTAATCAGTTTTACGTTTGTTTTACTTTCAGTACGTAATCATGTTCAAATAGCCAATGATGCATATGAAGCAGCTAAAGATTCTCATGCTCTTGTTATTTGTACTGAATGGGATGAATTTAAAGTAACTAATAATCTAATTTTGTTTGTCTTTTTCGTAAATACACAATCATTATTTTTTATTTAATTATCTAGCAATTAGATTATCAATTGATTTACAGTACCATGAAAAAACCTTCATTCATATTTGATGGTCGTCTTATACTTGATCATGATCAACTAATCGGTCTTGGTTTTAATGTATTTTGTATTGGACAAAAACCACCATTAAATAAATATCTTAATCAAAGCCCTAGATAAACAAAACATTGTGATCCATTCAGTTATTTTCCTTTTCAATTGAATTTATGCATGACTATAAATCTCAGTAATACTGACATATTTTTGACTTATCTGTAAACACAAAAAAAAATGCGAAGCATCATTGTGATTTGTATTTTTCGTAGGTGTTTTTTTTTCTATTATTCATATTTACATGGGAGCTTTGTTTTTCCGAGAAGGTTCAACGTTGTTGTTTTTTTCGTGCGTTTATCTCATCATATAATATACAATATATCTATATATATATTAAATCTCTTGTTTGAATGATCTTCTTTGATAAAACTATAAATGAATTATTTTTTATTATGGATATTTCTTATTGTCAATTTCTTTTTTTAAAGATTATAAAATAAATTATATGAAAAATGAGTGGTACAAGAAAAAAACCATTTAGTTCAAAAAAGAAAAAAGAACAATTGAAATTAAAACGAGAAAAAATTCGAGCTCAAGGTAATTTATTTTTATTTTAGAAAAGTATTATTGTTTCTTTTTTTTGTTATCTAGGTGATAAATGGGCAGATTCTGATGATGAATCAGCTACAATAAATATAAATAGTTCGCATAATTCTCGCCGTCGAATAAATGAACAACCTGTTCGAGATGATACAACACATAATCCTAATCGGTAAGATTATCATTTGATCATCTCTCGAACCATTTGTTTTTCGGTACATTATTTTCCATTTATTTGGAATAACCTTAACGCTCGATAAGTCGATGACTGTTTATGAGTTACTAGTACAATAATGAGAGTTTTGATGGAAATCAATACTGTTACGACAATTACTTTAGTCCTAAAATAAATTGATGTGATATAGCCTCTTTTAAGTACTAATGTACACAGATGTTAACATCTGGCAAAAGAAAATAGAAAAAGTTATTATTAATGACCTATAGAGTAAGTGATTAGAAAAGATCTGCTCGAATGAATGTAAATTCTTTTCTGTTAAACGAAATAATTACGTAAAAGTCAATTCTTTTTATACAAATCAAAAGACACTTTAATTAAATAAGAAAAAAAACAGAGACGATATCATTTGGTAATTTAATAATATTGTCTTCTGAACAATATCTTATATTTAAAAGCGTCGATTTTATAATGATATATGATAGAATCTTCTTGGATATTCTTTCTTTGTATTTAGCTGCAGTTATCATCAAAAGTTCGGCTACGAAATAATTTGAGACCTCTGTGCTCCCTGTACCAATGTTAAAAACTCTATATCGAACGATTATAATTTGCTTGATTTATGAACTTATCTTTGGATATTCTTAGCATGAGAATTGATGGGATTCATTAAAAACAAACTCGTCATTCTGATTATATTCTACCATCGGCTTTGAAATTTTCTTTAGTATTTTCTATGCTCTAATCAAGTATTCCCTGAAAATTTCATGATTATAGCAATTAGTTGAGTGGAGATCTACATGAAGATGATCCAAGGCAATGACAATGTCACTGTGTCTCAGTACCGCAGCAGATTGAAATCTTCTATCTGTGACAGATGAAGCTTTATTTATACATCAAAAGACAGATATTAAAGCTTCAAAATAATAACACATCAGAAAAGTGTCAAAAAATGCAATTTTTGACATCCAAGAAATAAACATTTGTTTTTTTTCTCTAAATTCAATGCTTTGGTACTTGCAACCTGAGTTTATCGAGCCCTTGGCGGCTACTGTATATTATAAAAAAAAACTTTGTTTGATAATTTCTATTCGATTTTTGTGATTAAATTTATGTATATATTTTATAGAATTTTCTATTTATTTTGATGATTAGATATCGTCTTCATTTTCAACGTGAATCTCGTGATGAAATTGATCGACGAAAAAAACTTGCTCAATTACCTATTGAAAAATTACCTGAAGAATCATTAGAAATTCCTATCGAGCAAATCTATCGACCAGGAAGTGCTCTTGATATGCCTATAAGACCAGCATGGACATATAATATGACTAAAGAACAATTAGAACAACAAGAACAAACTTATTTTAATGTAAAAACTATTTCTATAAAACAAAAGAAAATATATTTATTGATAAAATTCATTTTTCAGAATTACTTGGAGAAAATTTTTGCAAACTTTGAAGCTAATGATTTAAGTTATTTTGAAATGAATCTTGAAACATGGAGACAATTATGGCGCACAGTAGAAATTTGTGATATTATTCTTATGATTGTTGATATACGTTTTGCTGTAAGCTATTTTATTTTTGATTCCACAGTACTGTTCAAAAATATCAGACCAATGTATTTTTTGATATTTTTTCTCGAATAACAAGCATTTAAACTCAAATCCAAATAGTGATTTGAATAGCCAAAGAATTTGACTATCAAATCCATGTCATACCAAAATTTCATAGATGGAATATGATAAGCAGGTTTCTGAAGAACAAAAAAGTTATAATAAAAACCAAAAACTACACCTCACGACGAGGAAAGTTCCTCAAGTAATTATTTTCTTTCGAATCCGAACTATTTGCATTATGTAGACGACAATGAGCTATCAATACTCTGAGAACAGTTCAGGCTCTTAGTGTATGACTGCTATCGACTTGAAATATTACACAGAGACAGATCTTAGTGAAAATAGTTCATTTTGAAAGTTTCAGATCTTTTGCTTTTCTTATTTCTTGAAATAGAAACAACAAATCTGCAGACATATATGAGCATTGTGAAAGACGAACTTTTATCATAGCTATATCGTAGGATAAGAACAGCGACAATATCTGAAACATTCACAATAAACTCGTCTCCATGAACCCAGTCTTTATGAAAAGTTTTCAAGTCGATATTCGAAAATGAGTTTTCCTAGTGTTCTTAAGGGAGGCCATGACATTGACTAAAAATACCGTAAAAATATAGTATTTCGATAGCAATAAGCTAGGGTCTGAACTTTGATTCATGATACTGATAGTTTATCAGCGTCTACATGATGTACACAGTTCGAACTCGAAAGCAATTAACCGGTTGGGAAACTTCCTTCGTGAGAAGCCTCTTTCTGTTTTTACTATGCTTATAACTTTTTCAGAGCAGATCATAGGAAATATGGCAACTCCTCCTTTTATTTAGAATTTATAGAAAACTTCCTCTCGTAGTCCATCTATGAAAGTTCGTTGTGATATGCATTTGATGGAGAACTTTATTAGCTAATGAAACCATTATTTGGATTTGAGTTAAATGCTAGATATCATAGAAAAATATCACAAATACGTTGATCTTATGATTGTTAACTACTTGTACTGCATATCTTAACATTAGCTGTTTTTCTACATAGGTTCTTCATTTTTCTCCAACTCTTTATGATTATGTTACACGTATTCATAATAAACAATTAATCGTTGTATTAAATAAAATTGATCTTGTACCTCCATCACTTGTTATTGGTGTAAAAGATTATTTTACTAAAAAATTTCCACAATTACATATTCTTACATATACTTCATATCCAAAAGATTTACCAACCACACGTGATGATTTTGATAATTATCAAGTTATGGCACGTATAGTACGTCGAAAAAATTATTATGCTATTGGTCCATTAGCATTATTTGAATGTGTATCATCCATTGTTGGTTCTCAAATTGATTTATCTTCATGGAAACAACATATTCAAGAATGTATGAATGGTGAAATTGTTGAAAATAAACTTAAACATGAAAACATTGATGTGTCGCCATTAACAAATACAACTAAAACAACGAATCATATAACATTAGGTTTTACAGGATATCCCAATGTTGGGAAATCATCAATATTAAATAGTATTGTTGGTCATAAAGTTGTTAGTGTATCACGTACACCAGGACATACAAAACATTTTCAAACAATATTTTTAACAACAACTGTACGTCTATGTGATTGTCCCGGTTTAGTTTTTCCTTCGTTTGTTGAACGACCATTACAAGTTTGAAAAAAAAAACAAATAACATTTTATAGCTTTAATCCATGTATTTATCTCTTTAAGATTCTAGCTGGAATATATCCAATAGCACAAGTTCAAGAACCTTATACACCTGTTGGATATCTTGCACAATGGTTACCAATGACAAAAATTCTTAAATTACAAAGTCTTGAGCAAGATACACCGAAGTATAGTGCAATGGATATTTGTGAAGGTAGGTTAATTTTAAAAACAAAAAACAAATTTATTCAACAAAAATTCTCTGTATCCTTAGCTTGGGCAATTAAACGTGGCTTTTTAACAGCAAAAGCAGCGCGTCCTGATGTTTATCGAGCAGCCAATCATATTCTTCGTTTAGCACTCGATGGTCGAATTAATTTATATCTTCGACCGCCAGGTTTTACTGCTGAAAAAAGTATTTTCTATTTTTTTGTTTATTATATATTTATTTTCTTAAATGATGTTTATTAAGAACGATATGCATCGGACCCTCGAGCTATTGAACTTGAACATCAAATTCAAGTAGCTGTTGATAGACAAAAACCTCCTGATAGTAGTGTATCCGGTGGTGATGATAGTGAAGCATTTCCAACAAGTGATGATCATCAATTAGCATCATGTAGTGCATCAACAAGTGATCATGGTGCTGATATAGTTGAAGATATAAATCGTTTTATTGCTTTCAATCGTGATAATGATGAAAAAGAACAATTAAAACAAATAAAAAATACACGACGAAGAGCAAGACGAAAATCTAGCAATAGCAATCAATGTAATGATGATAATGAAGAAGAGGGAGAAGTTGATGGATAATAAATAAATACTTCCGGTGACTTTTGTCTTTCATGACTTGAAAATGTTTTTGTTTTCTCTTATTGTTTCTTCTTCTTCAGATTTATCAATACTTGATCTGTAAAGATTTGTATAGTGTGGAAGCGTTCATTTTTATTCGCTATCAGCTAAAAGAAGAAAAGCTTTATACACGATAATGTTTGATTCTTTTTTGTGCTCAGAGTATTTGGAAGAGAATATAAAGATTAATATTTGGTGTAAAATTTGTTGGTTATAATTTCAAGAAAGATGACTGTTAGTTAAAGGGATCTTTTATGGGTTTTTTTTGTTAGATGTATTCTATCATTTCTTGCACTGAATTTATTCTTTTCTTGCGCTATTAAATAAAGTTTAGTTTTGTTCATAAAGCTAACGAGTACATGCATGAGAAAATACATTCATTTTATTTTTGATTAGAGTACATATATATATTCTGGAAAAGGAATTTTGTTTTTTTTTCTTTGTATGATCTATTCAAGTTTTTCTTTCGAAATTCTTCGACATAGAGTATTGGTAAAATACACTCCAAGCACCGTTTTACTTGGAACATATGCCAGTCAATAGAGCTTGAAGTTTTGACAAGGAGATTACTTTCAACTGATCACTCGATTTTTAATTCGGACTCACGAGGGAACATTCCCAAGTGTCACATCGCTTTTGAGTCCAAAGTATGAGCATCATGTAGGTCCTAGTGATCTATGAACACCCTGAAAAAAGTTCGTGCCGCTAGCTTATTGGTGCCGAGATATTGCATTTTTACGGTATTCTTAAAAAAATGAAAGCTGTGGTCCTCCTCAGGAACATCAGAAAACCTAATTTTCGAATTTTGATTTAGAACTTTGCAAAGAGATAGATCTTGATGGGAATAGTTTATTGTAAAAGTTTCAGATCTTTTGTTTTGGTTTTATCCTGAAACACGAACGTCGAATCTGCCCATGTATAGGAGCAATTTTATAATAGCCGTATCTTAGGATATGAACATCCAAAAGCTCTGAAACTTTTACTATAAACTATTCTCATTAAGGCCTGGTTGTGCGCAAAGTTTCAAGTGAAAACTCAAAACTCAGTTTTCTTGATGTCCCTGAGGGGGACCACGGCATTCTGCTTAAAAATAACTAAAAATGCAATATCTCGACACCAATAAGCTAGCGGCACGAACTTTTTTTAGGTTATTCATAGACCATTAGAGTCTACATGATGCTTATAGTATCGACTCAAAAGCGATGTGACACTTGGGAATGTTCCCTCGTCAGTAGATAAGGTAGACTTCAATGAGATATAAAAAACTCCCAAATGATAAGTCTCTTAGACTTTCAATTCACAGTTGTAGACATTTACTAGAACTTTAGTTTCTGACAGAGTAAATGCCAATAAATCGAATGACGGAATTTCGGCCTGAGATTTTGTCTACAAACAGGGCCATTCTTTGAATTGCACACCTTAGGCAAGGAATTTTACCCGACTATCCTTTATGTTGCAAACACAATTGATGAAATATTTAGCTGAATCTGGATCGAAGTATGAATTAATGATATTTTATTTGAACATTAGTCAATTGAATTAAACGTTTAATAGTTATTATTGATAAGAGATGGATATTTAATCTTATAGACTATCTGATTTGTTAAGATATCTTTATATTAAAAAGATTTATTGATGAAAAACAAAAATGATTAATTAAGGCTTTCAATATATATTTTAGATAAATCAAAAGTAAAACTATGAATGAAGAAACTCTTCGACAACTTTTAACAGCACAAGATGGTATTGAATTCTCACCAACTGCTGAAATGATGATGATGAATTCAGCAGCAGTGAATGATAATGATTCACTTGATATAGAAATGCCAGGAATGCTTCAGTCACAACAAGAACGCATTGTTCGTGCTAATCCACCTGTTGTTACATCAACAAGAACTGAGCCTGATGATGATGACTTATTACTTGAAGATGAAACAATTCTTGAACGTATTATTGCATTGAAAGAAATGTTTCCAGAAAGTATTCAAAATGCTGTTGGAACATTGAATCGTACAGTAATCAATGCAACTAAACTTGCTTATAATAAAAGTCGTACAGCAACTTGGTGGTAAGATTTATAATTAATTTTATTTATTTATTTTTCTGTCGTATAACAATCTATATTTAGGTTAACTTCAACTATGTGTGTACTTGTTTTTCCAATTCTTATTCAAAAAGAATTATTACAAGTTGCTGAACAAATCAGTCGTGAACAACGATCAATTCTACTTGGTCCACAAGCAGCCACAGGTGCTATTAGTGGTGGTGCTTTCTAATATTATTTTTCATTATTTTGTTCCTTTTCTGTTTGTTTTGTGTTGACTATTTGTATTCAACCTTAACAGTAAGATCAGTTAAAACAAGATTCTTTAATAAAATGAGCATATGAAAATTCCAAATCTTTTTCTTTCTGTCAAATATTTGATTAACATCCTTTCATAGTCGTATGGTTTTCTTTTTCTCGTTTGTCAAATTTAGAATCAAGAGATCAATATACAATGGAACTTAAAATAAGAAAATACGACACAAACATGATATATTTGCAGAGAGTATCATTATATTAATGGTATAATGAGGATAACAAACAATCGAATTAAGGAACGGTCTTCTCTTCAGTATTTTTGAAGAATAACTCATTAGAAAAAATTGACATTTTCAGTATACATAGCTGTTGATGAATAGAGCACAAGTTGTTGTAGACTCAAAATTCAAAAATGCTTCCTTCTAGGAGATATCGAGGTCTCAAACACCTAAAGTCATCTGTTGGATGAACCCATTTCCAGTTGCAATATATCTAATAGAGTTGATCATTTCTTTTATAGATATTATACACTGTTTCGTATGTCTACGATGTTTTGGTTTCTTTTTATCTTCTTTCATTCAAATAAAAGCATCAACATATTGAATATACTCCAAGTTCAAAACACTTCATAGTATAAGTATACAAGAAAACTTTCAACTCAATCGAGTATTGTATGATTAAGAAGCAGGGTGACTTGCAACTTTTTTGTTAAAAACGTCATTGCTCGATAATCACGACTAGTTAGTAAATTTTGACATTTTTGAAGCGAAAATCTTTCATGTTTTCGAATTTTTCGACTTTTATGGTTACTGATTAATTCTTGAAATCCATTTCGTAGATAGAAAATACTTCATAGTATATATAGAGCACGAAAAAAAACCAAAAATGAATACTTTTAAAATTTTCGTTCGATAAAAAAGAGTTCTCTTAAGCATATGTTGCTGATTATTTTGAGGACATATAATAATTGGCACTTACTTCCTTTATTGATGAACATACACTGTGAAAAAACAATTGGCCGCTGCATGCTTGTTATATTCCTTAATGTCAATGATCCTTGAAGTAAGTTGAATCCAGACATAAGGAAATCAAGTCTTTTTTGACTGATCGCTTCTTTGTTTGTATCAGATTAAATGGAAAAAAATATACATATGTAGATGTCTTAATTAATTCAGGGTTTGTTTCAAGTTTGCAATGTAGTTGGATTGAAGTTGAAATATAATGTAAAGGATTGGAAATTCGTAGAAAAACTTTTCTAATTTTTGTCTATGATCTTATTTGTCAATAATCTATTTTTATTTTTTGATAATAAATCCGTTTGTTTCTATTACAATAATTAAATTAGTAAAATAAAATGCTTTTACAAATTATTAAAGACACTCAAATTGCAAATCTCGTTTTTTTGCCATTAAGGCTTCCACTAATTGTCGTGGAATAGTATGAAGGAAGCACATATGTCAAATGTTATGAATATGTATCTTGATGCTTGTTCTCGTGAAAGCAGAGAACACAAGTCTTTTATGTTGACTTTTAAAAATATTACTTTAAGTGAAGGATAAGATCTAGCAACGATAACGCACCTGTGTCTCTGTAACATAGCTACCATATGATAAACATGGTAAAAATGACCATCACATAGCTATGGTACGCGCAACTGCGCAGAATGATAGAAAGAGTTCAGAATTCGACATATATGAATTTACGATAAAAAGAATTTTTCGTGCACTGCACGGAATTATTATTTGACATTGAAAATGAAATTTTAAGAACAATATAAAAGAACAAAAACGAATATCGTTGTAACAGTTCAACGATCAAAAATTTTAACAAAATTTCTGTCAAAAAACCAAAAATACTGTACACGTAGACTAAACTTAATAAGACAAGTGTAGCATATTCAAAATTGGTTTTTCTTTATAAATATAAAAATCAAGTTTTATATTATGAAAAAAATTGTTTTGTGCAACCAGTCGCTATCATGTGTCGAGTCCTTTCTTGCATTCCATTCCGTACCTTACTTAATACACACTTACACTTAGATGGGCCTATAGTAGCGGAAAAGTGTCCATCCCACCAGATCTCAACTATTACAAGCACTAGAGGTCTGAAAATTCTTGTGCATATAATCCACCAAGAATGTAGATCAGAGCTATGAGCTTGCTTCTTTGCTAGCATATAATGAGAATTTATGGTGAAGGATAATTGATAACAGTTATTTTTGCTTTAAACTTTATATTTCTAATAAGAAGGACCTTTAAGAATCAGTCGATCATTCATTACTTATGGCTATCTATGCTATTAATTTCATCGAAATCCATATATCTTTGCTAGAATTTTGTTCCTTTTATTTTGCCTGTTCGAGACATAAAAAACTCGCTGAAGTACTTAATAGAGTATAACTCGATAATGCTTAAATAAATCGAGTTCAAACTTTCAGAGAAACTCTGCCTGTAACTGAACATTATTGCCTACAAGTCTTACAGAAGAAAAATCTTCTAAAAGAAAACAGTTCGTCAATATTCATTGCATCGATCCTGAAGATGCAGAAATCTCCAGAGGCAGTGATCTTTCGACACATTGCATTATCATTTGAATGAACAAAAAACGTACACTGAGCTTCAATCTCATATTAAAACATTAGGAATGAGTCATGTATTTGATAAAAAAGTAACAAAAGAATTTAGAAGACAGCTTTTTTAGGTTAAAAATCTTGAAGCAGAAATAGGCCTCGTTCATTATAATTCTTGTTGTATTTAAGTTGGTCTTCTCTTTTTTCGAATATTAAAATCAAAAATTTTACCATCTTTAATTTTTCATCATGAATGTAACTTCAAAGTATCCTCTATCGGAGTTCCCCTTCAGAAATCGAGGGCAAGCTCATGGTTCTGATCTATATTCTTTGTGGATTATATGCACACTAAGTTTCAGACTTTTGGTACCTGTGGTAGTTGAGACACAGATGTAGCCAGGAGTTTTCCAAAGGGTATGCCCAACTTGTTATGGAAGGTGCACGCTAACAGAAAAATAAATTTTTGTTTCGCGAGAAGTTTTTTTTTTATTCGTACTTTCTTCCATATGATTTTTGATCGAAAAAAATGCACAGGTAACATTTGTACTTCCCTTGGCTATGCTCCGGAGCTAAGATGTGGTGGAGTAAAGACCTTTGTTCACTACTGTGTGTATGTCTCTACTGTATCAGTCTAGGGCAAAGTGAATCGAATTTTGATGAACGTTAGTTGTCAGAAAAAACAATTGCATTGTCTCGAAACATGAATAATTCTTCGATGATTTCTATGCGTTGAAGAAATATATTTTATTAACTTTTTAACCGAGAAAAACAAATTATTCCATAAATAAATGCAATTCAATCAAGAAAAAAAACAACAACAACATTTAGGTTTCATAGCATGGTATTAAATATTTGCTCATAGCAAAACAAGTTCGTGTATCATCTTGTTCAATATTTCTATATGCAATTAAAATATCCATTTGTTGACTTAAAGCTAATCGATCAATAATAAATTTATTTTCTCCAAGTTCAATTCCACTAAAAGCTATTTCTTCAATATATTCTTTTCCCGACCACATAAATAATTTTCTATCAATTGTTTCAAAACATATAAAAATATTTTCATCATTACATATTATAACATCAAGAATTTCTTTTATATTTTTTCCAATATAACATGAATATGTATCAAGATTTTCAAGTGTATTTAAATCATATATAAAACATATTAATTTATTATTATTAGATTTTAAACCACAAATCAATAATTTTTGTTTATTAGATAATAGACGTACATGGATTGATGTTAATTGTAAATCATAACCAAGAAAATTTTCTTGTTTTTTTTCATGTACGGATAAACCAAACATAATATTTAATTGTTTTATTGTTAGACAATCAATTTTAAAATCATAAATTATTGTTATCTGTTCATCGTTATCAGAATAAGTTATTGTACCTTGTTTGGATTTTTGTTTTATTTCATTTTCAAATTTCTTTGGAAAATTAAATAAATATTCACTTGTATCTTCTTTTATAAATTGTTTATTTATATATGAATATGAATAAAGTGAACATGTAAATTGTTTTATTTGTTGAGGAATGAATGAACCAAAAAGGCGTAAAAATGTTGAATCTGATTGTTCATATGATACTTGATAGCCAATGACAGGTTTTGAATAGGTTTTATTTTTTATTTGAATAAAATCAAGGTAAACATGTTCAACATGTTGAGCTACTGGATCATTTACTGTTGGAAGTATTTCAAATGGTAAAATTATTTTCATAAGACGTTTTGAGTCTAAAATAAATTCATAATTTCTCTTGAGATAATTATTTACAAGATTGAATGGCGATAAAATCAACTAATACAAAAGGTTTGCTTTTTTAGAATCTCGAGAGAACTAGAGAGAGTTTTCATTATTGGCATAAAAAGTTTTTACGAAGAATTCCTATGAGATTTAACTATAAAATACAGAACCAGAGGTTTTAACAATATGTTCAATAATGATAAGAACATATTGGTTACAGAAATGATTTGTTTGTCTTATATTTACTTGATATCGGTTCAAATCTTAATCCATTAAGTAAATATCCTTGTCTTGGTCTTGGTGGTCTTTCATATAGAATTTCTGTTAATTGATCTCTAGCTTGTTTTTCATATGACACAACATGTACATCATGTGCATGGTTAACTAATGTTTGAATTAATTTAGCAAGTTCATTAACTTTATCTTCCTGTTTTTGTAATTGATCAAATATAATAAATAATCGTCGATCTCGATCAAGAATTTTACTAACAAAATCAATTGTTTCATGTAATTCTTTATGAATAGATTTTAATTTATTTACATAAAGACGCTCTAATTGATAACGATTGTCTTGTGCTATTTGTGATAAAAGTTTTATTGTATGATATTGTTGTCGATGATGCGACATATTTTCATCAATAAGACATTCCGAAC